AAGCTGTTGTAGCTGTTCCTCAACTGGATGGGAGGCAAATGAGGTCCAGTCCATAAGTTTAGTTCCTGAAAGGATGTACAATTCCCCATCTTGTGTGTAGAAACGATCACAAAAGACATTTGATAAATGGAAACATACAGAAGCCATTCCCATGGTATGAAGTAATTGCACATCATATCTTTAGAAAGACAATATTGGACTGGTTGACAATTGCTGTTTAGGAAATACAGTGTTGTGTAAATAGTGGGTACATCTCATTATGCAGATTCATCGTAGTGGGTGAGGCAAGGCTTAATATGCATGCATTATTGGCAGGCTTTCAGCCTCTTTGGGCTGGAAGAATTTCAGGGAGTGTTGTTTTTAATGGGGTTGGGGAATAGGCACACTTGCCCTCCTTTACCCCATTGAATGTATATGACTAGGGAGCATATAAGTCTACCTGCTTTTCAGCCTGTTTTATTTTATAAGAAGAATGAGGGCAATGCATGGAGTGCAGTGATTTGGTACAGTTCCTCTGTGTCTGTCCTCTACCCTATAGATTCCTCTGCCCTATAGCCTTGTGTGGTTAGCTACCCAGAATGAAATGGTAATTTCCTTAGTGTGCCATTCCAGCTAAAATGTGTCCTTTTCTCAAAAGGGAGAGAGTCTAAGGCCTGAGAGGGTTCACCCTCATTTACAAAAAGGAAAAGAAAACTTGAGTTGGTATAACATAGAAGAATTGGGAAATGGAATACAGGAGGTCTACACTCATCCTCAGAACAAAGGAATATTTTGTTTTATTTATTTATTTATATATCACATTTATATAGCCGCCCATTTCACACAAAGCGACCCTGGGCAGCGTACAACAATTAATAAAACAACAAGCAAATAAAAACAGGCATATAAAAAGACAAAAATTATTATTAAAATAAAACATTAAATGTTAAAAAAATAGGTTTTAAAATATACAAACTCCACGGAGAGAACAGAATATCAGTTACAGGAATAGCTTGGGCCTAGGGATGGCTTGTGTGAATTTCACCCAGCAAGGAAGCTGGGTGGTAGCACTGGGAAGAAAAGGGTGCATTGCATAACTGTCAGGTGTAGGCTAGGAGACCTGCCTCTCTGATGCTCCAAGTTGGTGCACCTCTAGCTGAGGACTTGAATATAGCTTTTTGAAGACAGAATAAAGGAGTAAGAAGGTGTTGGAGGATCTGAACAGTTGTGAGGGCTTTAGACCAAATCCAGGCTGTGCTGTCAGAACAACAGAATGTTGCCAAAGCAGTATTGAACTGCCCAGTTAGGATAGCCTGAAAAACATGCCCCCCCAAAGAGTCTGGGTGGAAGCATTAAATCCTGGGATGGGGGCATTCTGGAGGAATCTGCCTGGTGCAGGAGGGGGAGGTGAGGGAGGATTTCTTTGTCCTGCAGTTTATGGAGCCAGAAAATTATGACCCTCCTCTGCTTCTGTTGACAATTGCAGTTCTGCATCTTGATTAATAATTCTTAACATCCTGTTGTCATCAGGCAGTAGATTTGTACCATGTGCGTTCAGCAGTCTTGAAGCGTATTCCTACATTGGGTATATTTATTTCAGGGTATGATCGCCCTGGAATAGTTGGTTTTTAATGCACAGTAAAGCTGCCATACATGAAGATAACACCCTTGGAAGATCAGGCACAAAATGAGTTTCTGTATCCTGAATTGAATGACAGAATGCAAAGAGTGTGACAGAAAAGATGGTGTACCTCATCATTTCAGTCATTTCATGGCTGTCTCTCTGTGGACTGTTTCTGCAAGGGGAACCGTATTTGCTGCAACTGACTCTTGTGGTAGCTTAAAAGTTTTAACACCCTGCTCTCCCTTTCACCTACTGAAATGACAGTATTATCATTAATTAGATTGTCCAGGTTGCTGACCCCTTTTAGAACTTAAATTAGGACGGAAGTTCAAGACCATTCCAGTTGTTAAATTCATCAGAATTTCTGTAGCCACAAGAGTGTCGTTTTAGGTAAAAGAGTTCCTTGAGAGAGCATCTAAGTAGATTGCAAAATAGTGGGACCAGACTTGGGGTGTGCACAAAACAGAAAATATTTTATTTGAAACCTGAACCAATCATACTGCAGAAATTCTGCTGAACTGCTTTGGATCAGCCACAGTTCAGCTGGGGGGGGGGGGGAC